TGGTGCAATTCCTAGGTGGCCTCATTTCTGCATTTCTTGACCTTGCGTCTGTTCCTCGGTCCCACTTTTGTTTCACGGCCTCGGTTCCTCCCTATCAGCCTTGCTGAGGTCATCAGGTCTTTTTGTCTAAAGTTCCAGACCCCTTCCTCACTCAGGTCCTTATCCCCTCTTCGTCATTCCTTCCTAAGCTCTTGGACCTCTCTCCGTCAGTTTCAGTGTCAGTCTTCATCCTCCTATTTGTTGCCTTGCATGAGCGATGACTATGCCATTTCTTCTTCGGCTTGATTTGGTCTCTTGGCCTTGAGCAGGTTCCTTAGACTGGGACAATAAGGCCGAGACAGTATGTCCTCTTTTCTCTAGTTCCCACTGAGACTCCAGTGCAACCCCATGTCGCTACATCACCAGGACATCCGAGCCTCTTTTTGCCAAAGGCAGATTCCTCCGCTGCACGCAAGCTTTGCCGAAATGCCAGCGCGGCGCTTTTTCTTTTCTTTTGGATGGCGCCGCCGACCACTTTGGTCGGGTAGCCGCAAGTCTCCAAAGATTTCGGATTGGCTCAATTTTAATTCTCAAGTTTGCCTGGGCGATGTGATGGCAATTTAAACGAAAGGCAGTTCAGTCCTTGTCTGCAACATTATTCTGTGGGTTGCGCTCTGTCATTCTGCAAGCAAGTTGCAGTCCGCTTCTTCGCTTCAGGTTCATATTTTCTGACATTGCTGTTTCTTGACCTCAACCCTTGGACTCTTTTCCCTTGGCTTCGACAACCCCATTTCCGGGAAGCGATATTGTCCTCTCTTCTCAAGTCCTCAATTCTGTTCCTTGTCACTGACTTCGTTGGTCTCTGGTATCGACTTTGGTCCTTAGGTAGCTTTGATCAAGCTCCTGACAGCATATTGGCCTTCTTGCATTCCTGTTATGTTTTCACATGGCCTCCTTTGAGCTTTGACCAGGTTCATGGGACCATCCATGGCTTTTGTATTTGTGTCATACTTTCATCCGATCCTCTGCGCTCTGTCCCAGATGTCTTACAGGTTTACACCTCTCTCTCTCTCTCTCTCTCTCTCTCTCTCTCTCTCTCTCTC